ACATTTATCCTACTTTGTACCCCACGCTTGGACTGCGTACTTTACATACATTATCTCTTAATTCTCACAGCCAGTCTGCATGGCACGTATTATGCCCTCTAACAGATAGAGAAGTTGAGGTTCAGTGAGGTCAGGCAGCCTGCCCAGGGTCACACAGTAAGTGTGAGTCTGGATTCAAACCGAGGTCTCCCTGACTTAAAAGCCCACATTTGTCCTCAAGTCCCTGGGGCCCTTCCTCACCTCCAGCCCAGCTGACGTCGGGGACTGGAGTGGGGCCTATGAACCTGGGAGGGAGGCAGGGGGAGAAGGCCTTGTTGTGGTCCCTCTCCTGGAGACCCATGCAGAAGGCCCGTGCAGAAGGCTGAGTGGCAGGAACATGTGGGCTGGGCCACAGGGGAGGCCTCTTAACTAGGTGTCTTTGTGCTAGAACCAGGGGCTGTAAGGCAGAACGTGCAACGATGTTGTAACTGGCATGTAACCCCTTTCCTATGAGTGGGGGAGGGGCGGGGCTGGCCTGGGTCTGTCAGGAAGCACCCAACTGAAACTGCCCCTCAAGCATCTGTGTGTGTGGAGGACATACGTACATATGCACGTGTGCCTCAACTGTGCATTTTCCTGGTGGTGCGTATATACATGGGGTGTACTTGGCTTTACACGAACCAGCATTCTCAGCCTGAGTAAGGCCACCTCACCTCCTTCTGCCCCTGGTCCTTGGGCAGTTAGTTGAGTAATGACTAGACCTTTGTTCTTTCCCTTGGAAGGGGTTAGAGTGAGTCTTGAGATTCACTGCTAGGAGTTAAGTCTAGCAGAAATTGCTGACCTAGTCCCTCACTTCCTGGTTAGACCACTAGAGGACCTGCGGTAGATGCCATATTGCCAAATGTGGCCAGTGATCCCGGAGAAGGGGAAGAGAGCTGGGAGGGCAGATAGTGGGGGACCCAAGGTTAACGGAGGTCTTTTTGCAGATGGGAGAGATGTGGAGCTCTGCTGGCATAGTAGTTAAGAGCTTGGCTGCTAACCAAAAGGTTGGCAGTTCAAA